GTAAAGTACCAGTACTTGAGTAGATGTCTTATCAGTACGTAGTAGCACCTGTAGGAGGCTGGTTGTTTGAATTTTTTATTAAGACAAAACCATTTTTTGTTAAATCCGGTGAGCATTTCTTCATTTCTTCATCAGATTTCACGGGTGAACATGTAAGTTTACTGAAAATCTGTAAAGTTTTTTTTTTTTTTTTTTACAAAAACTCTGAGTTTTGTTTTTTCACAATAGCTGTGTAAGTGCTTTTACATTTTATTTAAATGATTTATTATTATTTATTTAAATTTATTATAAATCAAGACGTTCCAAATGGAACCGTGGGTTTTCCTGCAGTCTGTTCTGGAGATCCTCAGCAGATCGGCACGGCTGACAGATGCTGCAGATTAGAAGCCCTTTGATCGGACGCTTTAACTCCAGATTAACACGGATTAAACTCTCTCAGGGCTGTCCTCATCCTCAGGACAGTCTCTTGGTTTTACCTTGTGTCTCGGCCGTTTGGCGTCCAGCTCTGAGCTGCTGTTGTTCATGATGGTCCACCGATCGTTCAGCATCATCCTGAAACACCAACAGGCAGAGGTCAGACCTGGACCTCTTCAGTCCACCTCCTCTTCTTCACGAGCTGCTGGAAAACTGTTACTGAGGCCAGAAAATGTCACCTAATCTCAGGCCTAGTGTCCTCAGCAGGTTTATAAAGTCATCAACAGGTTTATAAAGTCATCAACAGGTTTATAAAGTCATCAGCAGGTTTGTAAAGTCAACAGGTTTATAAAATCATCAACAAGTTTATAACGTCATCAACAGGTTTATAAAGTCATGAAAGAGGTTATAAAATCATCAACAGGTTTGTAAAATCATCAACAGGTTTATAAAGTCATGAAAAAGTTTATAAAATCATCAACAGGTTTATAAAATCATCAACAAGTTTATAAAGTCCTCAACAGGTTTATCAAGTCTGCAATGGTTTTATACACTTTTTGCCCCACTCCCCTCAGGAAGGAGGTTGAGGAGCATTAAGTGTAGAACCACTAGACTGAGGAACAGCTTCTACCCTGAGGCTGTTAGACTCATGAATCTCTAACTAGAATAATCACTGTGAAAAACCATATCATGTTGCTGCTGATCTGTTTCATGTTGCTGCTGATCTGTTCCATGTTGCTGCTGATCAATTTAATGTGGCTGCTTATCTGATTCATGTTGCTGCTGATCCGTTTCATGTTGCTGCTGATCAGTTTCATGTTGCTGCTGATCTGTTTCAATGTTGATGTGTTCATGCGTGCACATCTGCTCACAGACTCATGTTCATGTTTGTGCTGATGTTCAATGTTTTATGTTATGAGTGCTTAGTGTATATTTAGTTGATGTTTTTCTTAGTTCATATCTTAGATGTTATTACTGTTTTTCTTATACATTTTATTGTTGGATGTAACTGGGACCCTGTGTACATAATCTCGATCCACCACATGTGGTGGAATGGCAATAAAGAATCTCTGACTGTCTGACTCGGGCAGCACGGTGGCGCAACTGGTAGAGCTGCTGCCTCTCAATGAGCAGGTCCCTGGTTCAAACCCCGGTCCAGGGGCCTTTCTGGGTGGAGTTTGCATGTTCTCTCCGTGCATGCGTGGGTTTTCTCCGGGTGCTCCAGTTTCCTCCCACAGACCAAAAACATGCATGTTAGGCTGATTGGTAACTCTAAATTGTCCCTAGGTGTGAGTGAGAGAGTGAATGGTTGTTTGTCTCGTTTGTCTCTATGTGTCCCTGTGATGGACTGGAGACCTGTCCAGGGTGTCCCCCGCCCCTCGCACAGTGACTGCTGGACATGGGCACCGGCGACCCCCGTGACCCAAAATGGAATAAACGGGTAAAGATGATGGATGGATGGATGGATGGATGACTGTCTGACTCTGACTCTTATAAAGTCATCAATGTGTTTGTAAAGTTATCAATGGTTTTATGAAGTCCTCAACAGGTTCATAAAATCATCAACAGTTTTATGTCATCAACATGTTTATAAAGTCCTCAACGTGTTTGTAAAGTCATCAGTTGTTTGATGAAGTCCTCAGCCATTTCGAAAAGGTCATCAACAGGTGTATACAGTCATCAACATTTATAGTCATGAAAGAGTTTATAAATCCTCAAAGGGTTTATAAAGTCATCAATGGTTTTATGAAGTCTTCAACAAGTTCAAAATGTCATCAACAGGATTCTAAAGGCTAAGGTTTATAAAGTCATGAGAGAGTTTCTGAAGTCCTCAACAGGTTTATAAAGTCTTCAACGGGTTTGTAAAGTCATCAATGGCTTGATTAAGTCTACAGCAGGTTCAAAAATGTCATCAATAGGTGTATACAGACATCAATAGTTTGTAAAGTCATGAAAGAGTTTATAAAATCTTCAGCAAGTTTATAAAGTCATCAACAGGTTTATAAAGTCATCAATAGGTTTATGAAGTCTTCAACAGATTTATAAAGTTCCCAACAGATCTAAAAAGTCCTTATAAGTTTTATAAAGTCCTCAGCAGGTTTATAAAGTCTTCAGAAAGTTTATAAAGTCCTCAACAGGTTTATAAAGTCTTCAGAAGGTTTATAAAGTCCTCAACAGGTTTATAAAGTCTTCATAAGGTTTATAAAGTCCTCAACAGGTTTATAAAGTCTTCATAAGGTTTATAAAGTCCTCAGCAGGTTTATAAAGTCCTCAAAAGGTTTATAAAGTCCTCAGCAGGTTTATAAAGTCTTCAGAAGGTTTATAAAGTCCTCAAAAGGTTTATAAAGTCCTCAACAAGTTTATAAAGTCTTTAACTGGTTTATAAAGTCATCAATGGGTTTATAATGTCATCAATCAATCAACCTTTATTTCTACAGGTAAATCCCATTGAGCCTCGAGGACTCATTTACAAGAGAGACCTGATTTCAACAAAGAAAGATGACAACAATGGACAACAGCAACAACAATAAGCAGTTATAAAAACTCATACTACAGTTTTTTTTTTTTTTTGTTTTTTTTTAACAAATAGGATGGCTAAAAGGAAAAAGGTAACAAAACCAAAAAAAAAAAAACTGCTAGATTCCGAGACAAATGTATAAAACTAAAAACAGGAACATGTCTGCATTGGTCCCTGCCAGGAGTCCAACAGATTCTTAAAGACACTTAGAGAGGTCAAGGGGTCTCAAAAGTCATCAATGTGTTTACAACGTCCTGAATGGGTTTATAAAGTCCTCATCAGTTTCATAAAGTCCTTGATGAGTTTTTACAGTCATCACTGTTTTGTTTTCATGTTTTACCTTTCTTCTGCTCGGTTATCGGACTGAAACAACTTCAGCTGTTTTCACCGTTATTCATCGAAACGTTAACAATGCTCAAAATAAGTTATCTAAATTATCTAATTTATGCCGAGGTGTGAGTGAGAGCGTGAAAGTTGTTTGTCTTGTAGGACACCAGCGACACAAAAAAGCAGAAGCGTGTAAAGATGATGGATGAATGAATGGATGATGGATAGATAGATGGATGGATGAATAAATAGAGGAATGAATTATGGATGGCTGGATGATAGGTGATGGATGATGGATGAATGATGAATGATGGATAAAATGATGGATTGATGGAATGAGGGATTAATGATGGATTGAATGATAGATGAATGATGGATGATGATGGATGGATGATGGAAAGATGGTGGATGATGGATGATGGATAATAGATGGCTGGATGATGGGTGATAGATGGATGATGGATGAATGAAGTACAATGGACGATGGGTGATGGATGGGTGATGAAGGATGATTTAC